AATTGCAATGTTTAAATATTACAGACAAAACTCATTATTGTAGACTTTTTTCCAATCTGTTAATCAATTTTATATGCAATTGTCGGAATGTTGTAAAGAACTTATATGCAAATGTTGAAATTTTATAAAGAACCTCTAGTCTGGTAGTTAAACCAATTTGTCTGCGATGTTAAACCATTCCCATTATAAAAGGAGAGCTAGGATCAATCATCCGGACGAGCAGTTACAAAAAAGCTTGAGTAGTCACTCAATCCGACAACTCTCACAGTTTCGCAATCCCACAGATCGCTAAGTTACTCAATCGGAGAGCTTGCACAAGTACTCAAGGAGACAATACAGTACAGTTAGGCAATCAACCATGACAACGGTTTAACGGCCGAGAAGCGGCAATACGACAGTTCAACAGTATAAGCGACAAGACCGTTTGGTACCCTTTAATACTTATTGTGCATTATTCATTTCGTCCCTATTATTGTTTCAATGCGATATTATTATACCATATAGTTAAGACCAATAAAGGTTAATATCAACGCAGCGGAGTTAAAGACAAAAATAAACCTACAAAAATCTTTTCCTGACACTTCCAGCTCACGGTTCCGGACAATTTTTACAATTGCTTCAGGATATTCCTGATGAACTAACGATAAGAACATTTAGCATATTCATCGCTTGCATAAGCAGTTTTATTATAGTTAGTAAGTTCATAAACTGAGGAAAAAAAGTTCATATGTACGGCTAATAAAAGATCTTTTGAATCTTTCCAAACTTATAATCTATCACTGATCGTCACATACTGGCAACACATTAACACACAAGTTTTGCGAAAATTCTGATTTGCTAAAATTTCGACAAATTCTTTTTCCCTCTTAATTAATACTATTAATGTGGAAAGAGCTTATCTGCCAATTAATTTAAATATTGTATTCATAAAAAAAGTGACAAAATATATAGTCAGCTCGGTTTCCATCTTCGACTCGTTGTAGCATCCGTTCGAACTTTAACTGTCACCGCTATAATTATGGTAGTAAAATTGGTAATAGCGATTCATTTCCCTTTTTATAGGAAATACCGGCAATATCAAAACTTATTTTTCATAGGAACCAATAACCATTTTAAGAGCATGGTATTTAACATTGAAGTTACGAGTGGCTCAGAAATTTGAATTGAAGTGATTTTCACAAATGTTTGAAATTTTATGTTATTTCAACGAAATTTTAGCTATATTTTTTAGTTTTGATTCGTTGAAAAAGTTATCATTTAAATCAAAATGAAATGAAATGCAATAATTAAAGGTATAGTTTCTTAGACATATCTGGGATACTGTAATATTTCACTTCTTTATTTACAAATTTTCGAAATCTTGGCAGTTTGTCTTGCCAGTTACCTATTTTTCTAAGTTAAGTCAAAATATTTAATAAAATCCATATCCAAGTTTACATATTGCATTAGTTAGTACCAAACTACGTTGACTTATCGTCCATGTCATTCTAGATGCAAGAGATTATAATGAGGATTTGGAGCTTTTACGACATTCATCATTGGTTAGATCTGTTATACTGAAAAGAACTGCGATTTAAATTAATGGACAAATGGCCATGGACAAATGACCAAAATTACATTCCTGAATAATTAGCATTATTATTTCCCTTGGTTATCGTCATTTCAATGGCACAATTAACTATCAGCATTTTGAGAAACCGAATATTATTTTTTCACAATTTATTTCGGAAAATGATAATCGCATGCCATCTTCAGAACCAAGGAAATTCCAACCTCAGGCATATATATTTCTTCTTCCAGAGTTTAGTTACAGAATCTGACTTTAAATCTTGGTAGTATTTGGGTGCAAACTGAACTACGGTACTTTCAGTATCCTTAATATGTTTGGAACTGATTTTGATGACAAAATCTTTTATCTTCGAGTGACGCCAACAAATGGAATCATAGAAATAAATATGGAAAAAATGTGATAAAAGGAATTCTTCCATAAATTCTGAAAGTTAATATCAAAATGAAACACAGTCTTTTTGCAAATTTCTTCCGACAACGACTTGGCACAAGCAATTTGATACACAATGTAAGTGAATCAGCAAGTTATACAAAACAAAATATAAATTGCATTTTCATATGTCAAACAACTCATTTGTCCTCTTGATATCTTAAGACTAGCAATTACCCTCTGAACATATAACAGCGAAGCGATTCATTATTTTTGGCCACAGGTCATCTGCCACAAATAACCCAAAGGAACCATGTCCTTCAAATTTTGCTTTCGTTTCTTTCGCTGGAATCCATTTCTTATCTACTTCTTTCCACGTTTTAATGATCCAATGTTTCTCATCACAATTTTCACCTTTGATCTAAAGAAGATCTAAAATACAACTTCATATTTTATTGTATGTTCTTCAACTTTTCAAAAAAAGCTGCAAATTTTTGAGTCATGCTAATGTAAAGCGCAAAATGTAGTACTTTGCTAATTAATCAAACATTAATAGGAGGAAAAGCACTATCTCATTGAAGTAAACTTATAAATTGATTTTTCAATCATTATTATCAATCAAGTATGGTTCATTTTAAATGTTTTTCAGCACTGTATACAATTCAAGTGCAAAATTGTAAAAATTGATGAAATATTTCAAATGCTTTTATTTTGTGACCCTACCAAATTATTGAACATTTACTTTAAAAAAATTGAAAAATTCAAAGCAATTTCTGGAATTTATTGCATAAATTGCATTGATAATATTCATAAAAATTGAAAACTACTTCAAAGCAATTCCTAAATACAAAAAAAAAAAAAAAAAGAAGTGACATTTATGACGATGGAATTAACACTTTAAAAAATAGTGGCAATGCACCATGGATGTTACATATTAAAAGATTATCATCGATGAACGAATTAAGTGAAGAAATTAAAAACAAACCAAAACGGTACGAATTTCATTTTTGTGTTTGAATGTCACTCGTTGGGTCTTCATTTTAATGGCTGGCACATAAATTTGCATTTGAAATGGTTTATCTGTTTTCGATTGCATTTTAACTTTAATTTTACATGCTGTTATTGACAGCATACAATCAGCCAAGGCTATTGCAATTATTGTAGTTGCCGCTGAGTACCACATCCTCAAACTACACCTGCATTACAGGTTATGAGTTTTTTTGATTTCGTTTAAAATTGAATTTGCAAATGAACTGATGATCATTTGCCACATAATTTTTCAATAGCACCCGAATCCCGTAATAAATAAAATGGGAAGAACGAGAAATAAATCCTCATTGAGTTATCAATTTCAATATTCTAACTTTGAACATTTTAAAACAACCATTCCAATCTTTTCATTCTTAATCTTACTATTAATAATGTAATTATTATTGCTTGGTGAAGAAAAATAGGTCAAATTTCATATGTACGTTAGTATCACCAAATAGTTGATTTTCTTATTCGATGATAGCAAAAGGAAAAGAACTAATAATAACAAATAAAATAATAATAATTATAATAATTAATAACAATAATAATAATAATAATAATAATAACAATAATAATACTACTACTACTAATAATAATGATAATAATAATAATAGTAATAATAATAATAATAATAATAATAATAATAATAATAATAATAATAATAATAATAATAATAATAATAATAATAATAATAATAATAA